GGCCCACCCAGATAATCTGGGATAATTTCCTCATATCAAGATCCTTAATTTAATCACATCTGCAAAGGCCTTTTGTCACGTAAGGGGACATATTTTTAGGCTCCAGGGATTAGAATGTTTTTATTTTCATTATGGTCTGCCTACCATAGTACCCCTTGCTCTCCAAAGACCTTCTGTTTTATCTGTTCTTGGGAATAGTCCTACAGACTTTTCTTGGGGATGGCGGAGGGAATTTAGTGATCCTTATTGCTTTTTAAGCAGACTTTTAGTCAGTGCTCCTTATTTTACATTCCTCTTTTCATCCTCACTTCCAGAAGTACTTAAAAGTACCAATACATGAACCTTTGGCTATTTTGTGATACAAATTGAGTTCTTAGATTTTCCTCTCACCAGTTTAAGATTTAATTTTTAAGGTCTACTTGATACTTTACCACTCATGCAACCACTTTTCAAAATTTTGTTTTTGTCTTCCTTTCCCATTCTCCTCATCCTTGTGGGTTTGTGCCTTTAAAAAAAAAAAAATGCCCCTTAATATTGTTTTAGCTGGGGTTTGGGTAGGCAACAAAAGTATATGTGTTTAATCTACCATCTTAATTAGAACAGAACTCATACTTTTAACTCCTACACCATACTGCCTTAACTTTATTGCCTTTTGTGTGTGTGTAAGGTAACCCAGATATTGGATAATCTAAATGGATGTGGGTCCTGTCTTCTAGATTACAAAGTTACGTATTCGTACACTTTATTGGCTCCTCTATGCCAGCTACTCTGCTGAGCATTTAAGATATAAAGCTCAGATTCTAGTGTTAGAGTTCAGATGTCTACAAAGGAAATTTGAGAAAATTGTTATAAGTATATACTAGGCATAGGAACAGTACCAAGGAAGCATGAAGGAAGAAGCAACCAATTTTTTTCTGAGAAAGTCAAAAAAGACTTCATTAAGTAGTGATGTTTGAGCTGTGTCTTTTAAATAGTATTGCTAGAGAATGGAGTGAGGAAGGTGTTCCAAGGTAGAAGTAGGAAAATATGAAGGGAATGAATGGTGAGAAGTTCAGTGTGGCTGGAACAGATTGTATAGGGGAGAAGAAATAGTGAAACTTCATGAGGTAGGTCTGGATTCGGTTTTGGAGGATATTTTATGGCATGGTATGAAGTTTGTATTTTAGGTCAGATGAAAATTGCTGGTATTTAAGAAAGGGAATAATAAATACTGGGTTTTTGTTGTTATTAGGGAGTAATTCTAGCAGCATGTTGGGACAGTCTGGAGTAGGGAGACAGGAGGTAGGCTAAGTGTTTAGGTGGCTCTTGTAGTATTCTGAGTAAGAATAAGAATCTGAATTGAGATAATGTCTTTGAATCCAGCTTTACTGTTGTTTCTGAAGTAGAATTAACAGGTGGTGACTGAATGGACATGGGAAGTGAAAGAAAAGGAATCATCAAGATTTTTTGCATAAGATACTGGAATGAATGATGATGCCGTTAACTGAGATTAGAAATATAATAATAATAGGTTTAGAAAAAATGTAATGTTTTTAGTCTTTAACATCTAAGTTTTTATATAATTTTATGGAGTACAAGTGGAGATGTCCATTTGGAAGCTGGTAATATCATCAGCAACTGAGAAAAGTGTCCTTTTAGGCATTAAGAATATAAACGAATTAAACATTAGGAAGATAATAACATGGTTGAAACCACAAGGATAGGTAAGGTCATCCAAGGGACACCATTTAGCTCCAGAAGAAGATTAGAAGGAAGCAGGTAGAAATGATTAAGCACACCAAAGGAGGGAAGAGGGCAGCTGTCTTACACAGTGTGTTCTCCTTCCCTCCCTCCTTTCAGTATTTTTTATGAAATATTGAGTAGGCACAAAAGAATATTTATGTATTAAATATATGTAAGGTATAGGAAATAATACCCTAACTATTGTGTTAGAAAAATTACCAATACCTTTGAAGTCTTTTTGTATCTCTCTTTTCTGTTCCATTCTGTTCCCCCTCTACTCAGAGATAACCACCATTCTGAATTTTTTAAATCATACTCTCATTTTTGTTTTACCACGTATTTTTGTCCTTAAACAATTTATTGTTGTTTTGCATGTTTTTGAACTTAAAAAACGATTGTCATAATGTATATGTTTTTCATTGACTTCATTTTTAAAATCATTCAACATTTTTTGAGGTTCATTCTTGATGTTACCTTTAGTTATAATCATTCATTTTTATTGTGTAATATTACATGCACAAATAAACCATATTTTATGTATACATTCTAGCATTGATATTTTGTTAATGTAGAAAATTATATTAATCAGTTTTCTAATACTAAACCAACCTGTTGTTACTAGAATAAATGATGTATCAGTGTTTTAAAAAATAAATTTGTATCTATGTTCATTACTGAGATTGCCCTATAATTTTCATTTCTCATAGCTTCCTTGTCTGATTTGGTATGGGTGTTAAGTTCGCCTTACAAAATGAATTGATGACTTTTTAACTTTCTTTCAGCAGTCTTTTCTAGTTTTCAGTGTACAAGTCTTGCACATTTTTTATTAAATTTATTCATAAGTGTTTTTTTAATTCTTCTTTTTGGTGGGATGATATTATGAATGGGATTGCTTTCTTAATTTTCTTTTCAGATTGTTCATTGCAAGTGTATAGAAATATAGTGAGTGCTGGCTGTTAGCTCAGTTGGTTAGAGCATGCTGCTGATAACTCCAAGGTCCAGGGTTTAGTCCCTGTATTGGCTAGCTGCCAAAAAAAACCTCCAAAAAACATAGAAATACAATGGATTTTTTTGTGTTAAGTTTGTGTCTTTCAATTTTGCTGAATTTATTAGCCCTAACAGTTTTCTTTGTGGATTCTTTAGGGTTTTTTAGGTATAAGATCATGTCATCTGTGAAAAGAGGTAGTTTTATTTGCTCCTTTTCAATTTGGATGCCTGTTTGGGATTTTTTTGAAAACGTGTTTTTAATTATTAACTGTTATTTTTAATTGCAATGTAGTGTAGTTAGAGAATTTAATTTTTATGCAACTAATCCTTTGAAATGACTTAATTATTCCTTTGATTTTCTTTATAGTTTTATTTTTATTGCCTATATATTATTTAGTTTTGCATGTTTTTTTTAATGGAGTGATTATGAATCATTGTGGTATTTGCTTTTTCTCCTCCTGCTGTGGACTGAATTGTGTTCCCCCAAAATTTATATGTTGGAGCCCTAACCCCCAATGTGATGGTATTTGGAGTTTGGGCCTTTGGGAAATAATTAGGTTTAGATGAGGTAATGAGGGTGGGACCCTCTTGATGAAATTAGTGCCCTTATAAGAAATTTCAGAAAGCTTGCTTTTGCCCTCTCTCTCTACCAAGTGAAGACACAGAGAAGGCAGTTGTCTACAAGACAGGAGGAGAGCTCTCAATAGAAATGAACATGGTGGCCCTTGATCTTAGACTTCTAGACTCTAGAACTGTGAGAAAATTAACTTCTGTTATTTAAGCCACCCACTTGATGGTGTTTTGTATGGCAGTCAGAGCTAAGCTACCCTCTTGTTTTCCACATTGTTTTGAGAATCATTCATATTTAAGGGTGTAATTTAGTTCTTCAATTTGCTTCTTATAAGATTTCATTGTATGAGTACACCATAATTTATCCATTCTGTGATTGAAGGACATTTGGTTTGTTTTCAGTTTTTTTTGTTGTTATAAACAGTATTTTTATGAACAGTCTTCTATGTGTCTCCTGGTGCGCAGGTTAAGAGTTTATTATATGCATGAAATTGCTAATATTCATTTGTTTTTAACCTTCAAGAACAGTGGTTTTGGGGCTGGCCCGGTGGCGCACTGGATAGTGCGCCGCTTGGGAAGCGCGGTGGCGCTCCCGCCCGAGGGTTCGTATCCCACATACAGACTGGTTCCCGCTCACTGGCTGAGCGAGGCGCGGGAGCAACACCGAGGGTTGCGATTCCGTTGCCGGTCCCGGTCCGGTACGGGTGCGACACTGAGGGTTGCGATCTGTTGCCGGACACGGAAAAAGACAAAAAGACAAAAACAAAAAAAAAAGAACAGTGGTTTTATATAGTTTAGAATAGTATCTAGGAGTGAAAGTGCTGGTTCAGAAAACTGTTTTCCCAAGTGATTGTACAGTTTACCCTCCCACTGGTGGGATAAGAGTTTCTTTGGCTTCACATCTCTGTCAACGTTTGATATTGCCATATTTTTACAGTTTTGCTAATGTGCATGTGGAGTTGCTATCTCATTATTATTTTAATTTGTATTTCACTTTATTACTATTGAGGTTTAGCATCTTTTCATTTGTGTATGGACCATCATATTTTTTTCCCCTGAAATTCCTGTTCGTGATTTTGTTCACTTTTCTGTTGCAATGTTTGCAAAGCTGATTCTTCTTAACTGGGATATGAGTTGCTTGGTTTAATTTAGTAAATATTTATTGAACCAACTCTTGGTTTTAGGTCATGCTTATATGAAGATGAATAAGATGGATGGACTCTTACCTCAATATGCATTTAGTAAAGGTTAAACTTAATTGGAAGCTTCAAACTTCTGTGTGGTCTTCCATTCAAATATAGATTAGGTACATGAATTATTTGCAACTTTACCTCTCTGTTCAGTATATTCATTTGTGAAACAATGAACTTTGACTAATTAATATCTAGTCTTCCTTTTACTAGTATATGTAATTCATCTAATATTTTTCTTGTTGGAATTTGAAACTTAGAAATGTTATTTTTTATTGTGATTGCAAACTATAAAGCACTGGGTTTTTTGGTTTTTTTCTTCTTTTTCATCAAAAAATGTTGGGTTTTGATTTTCTGTAAGATGTAATTGTAGTTAGTTCTCCAAGGACTCCTCTCTTAGATGGATTTCCTAGACACATATTACTACCTTTTATTTTATTTCTCCTATTACTACTTTTTATTTTAAAAATTCTTAAAATACTGTTACACATATAAACTTGATCCTAATGTATATGAATTATTCTTTCTCAGAGTGAAGATACACAACAGCAAATCATCAGGGAGACTTTCCATTTGGTATCTAAGAGAGATGAAAATGTTTGTAATTTCCTAGAAGGAGGATTGTAAGTAAAGCATTTTATAGACATTCTAATGTTTTACTATATTATTAAAATATATACTCTTTAATCAGTTTATGGTAAAAGTTTTGTAGTTTTGATTAATTGTATTAGGTGAATTAATTGCCCCATCTTAGATATAAATCTAACTTTAAGAACTTTTAAAAAAAATATGCAGGGTGGGCCCGTGGCTCACTTGGGAGAGTGTGGTGCTGATAACACCAAGGCCACAGGTTCGGATCCCTATATAGGGATGGCTGGTTAGCTCATTTGGGAGAGCATGGTGCTGACAACACCAAGTCAAGGGTTAAGATCCCCTTACTGGTCCTCCTTTAAAAAAATAAAATTAAATTAAAAAATATGCAGTTTTTTTTTCTTTTTACAAATGTTGTAAGGGCATTTTATATAAGGGTAATATATTCATATGGTAAAAATTCAAACATTATAGGGAAGTATAAAATGTAAAATAGGAGTCTTCCTCTCTCAACTCTGATTCTTCCCAGTTTCTTGTATATCCTTCTAGAAAATTAATTTTGCATTGACTAACATATAAAAGTATAACCTTAAAAAAATTTACTTATGAGATCACACTATATATGTTCGTTTTTATGTTGCTTGTTTTCCCTTAATATTTTGAAAAGCTTTGCATGTAAACACATCTAGAGCAATCTCATTATTTTTAATGACTATAGAGTATTTCTTAGGGTGAACGTTCATAAAAATTTAGATTACATTCTTTGTTATATTATTACAAACAAGACTGAAGTCTGTCTTTCAAATCTATCTATCTACACACCTATATATGGATTAGAGTTCAGCTAATAAATTTTTCTGTTTTTAAAATGAATAAATAAGAGTTACATGTAATTAGCTTGCCAAATATTATAAATATTTTTAAATTAATGGGTTGCATGAACAGTTTGTTTTCAAATGTTTTTATAAATGTTCACTGCCGGGCCGAGCCCATGGCGCACTCGGGAGAGTGAGGGGCTGGGAGCGCAACAGCAATCCCGCCGTGGGTTCGGATCCTATATAGGAATGAGCGGTGTGCTCACAGTGCTCACTGGCTGAGCGCGGAGCGGCCGGTCTCAAAAAGGACAAATAAATAAATAAATGTTCACTGCCCTGTTTATATAATTAACACACTTAATAAGACATTCTCTTATTGATAATTCAGAAACTAAACTTTAGCTGAGACTCATTATGAGTAATCACAGATTAATCAGAAAAACCTATACATTTCTAAATTTTAATATGTATGATGTGTATTTCAAAAAATAGTTTAAATAGGGCCGGCCCGGTGGCGCACTGGATAGTGCGCCGCTTGGGAAGCGCGGCAGTGCTCCCGTCCGAGGGTTCGGATCCCACATACAGACCGGCTCCCGTTCACTGGCTGAGCGAGGCGCGGGAGCAACGCCGAGGCTTGCGATCCCGTTGCCGGTCCCCGGTCCCGTACGGGGGCAACACTGAGGGTTGCGATCCGTTGCCGGACACGGAAAAAAGACAAAAGACAAAAAAAAAAAAATAGTTTAAATAACAGAGACTCTATTCTTATCTGACCATAAATTACTTTTTATCATGTAGAAAGTTTACTTGCATTTCTTAAAAGATAAGAAACTTGTATTTCTTAAAAGGTAAGCAGCACTTACATGTACAATGCATACGTATAATTTGTAAATTTTATTAACTCAAGGCTTCTAATTTAATAGTTGAGACAAGTGTACCTACTTCTGTTTTTGAATTTTACTTGTACTAATTTCTTTTAAACTTCTGAGTTTGCTTGTCTTTGCCATTACAATTACTTTCTTTCATCCTGGCCTCTTAATTTCTGATTTTATGGGAAATTTGTCACCCATCATAGTGTAGTGCATGTAATAGATGTGTAAGAAGATCTGGTTGATCTGTAAGAAGATCTGGTTGATCTAACTAGGGTACTATTTGAACTAGAAATTATGGCTTTAAATTGTGATTATTCTTTTCCAGGCTTATAAAAAGTCGGAAGCAAATATTGCATAAAAGATGAGGCTACATACGCAGTCTAGTCTAGTTTTCTCACTAACAAGCTGGTTTCCTTGGTTAGGTCACTTAAATTCTTGGACCTCAGTTTTTTCTTCTGTAAAATGAGATATTTGGACTAAGAGGATCCTAAAATTCTGTGGGTTTATGTGGTATATTGCGTTCCATACAATAATTTGTATCAGCATTGTTCTGTAGTTTAAAGGTGAAGTTATATTTTAAAGGCAAAATATGTACTTGCTGTATTAATATCTTTGCTTTCTTTTGGTAACATTAATGGCCATTTTGAAACTAATAGTTTTCAAAAGTTTGGTCTTCTTTTAAAGTAGAACAAAAGATAAGTTTTAAGATAATCATCAAATTGCTGGTCCAGGATGAAGGAAGCCTGCTGTTTGTGCTCTATGTCTCTTTCAGGGAACAATTGCAATCATAGTCTATAAATATAATCTCAGAATCTTTAAAGTACATGTACATATTTTTTAATTAAATATCTCTTCTAGAAAACTAGCATAGTAGAGATTTTTAATTCTTGTCAAAGGTCATTTCTACTTTTGCTATTAGAGGACATAGAAGTAGTGTATACTTAAAGAGATTGTTTCTAGAGAACTTGTAAGTTTAGTGTTAGTTTTACTGAATAAGAAATAGTTGCTATTTTTTCTGTATTCTGTCTGAATGTTCTATTGGTTTTGATTACATTTAGCCTCATTTTAAATTGTTAGTGTTAAAGGGTTTTTGAGAAGGTGAACTGATTATTGTAAATTTAGCTATGAAATAGGTAAACTATATTTAGAAAAATAAAACATGTTTCGAATGATTCTAAATTATTTTTAAAATGCTGAAATTTCAATTAATATAAATAAAAGTATTTGATGAAAGAATTGAGTATCTCTTTGCTCAGTTTTCTTGCATTTATATTCCCAAACAATGCATTTTTGGAGGAGATATTCATGGTAAATCTTTCCCAAACTTAAGAAATGTCATTCTTTTCTTTTTCTAGTTGATAATCAGTTTTAAGTAACTTACTGTGGCCTGTGAAATTAAATCTAGTAAGCACTTACAGATGCACTGTGGTCTAATTTCTGCCTACTTCTATGACCTTATCCTTTACTGATCTTTTCTTGCCTACTGGCCTTCTTTCTCTTTCTTGAATATACCTACTTTGTTCTTGATGATAAGGCCTTTTTATTAGTGGTTACCTTAGCCTGAAGTGCTTTTCTCTAAGCACTTTTTTCATGGTCAGCTGCTTATCATTAGATCTCAGCTGAAATGTCAATCTTTCCTAATACCCAGTCCGAAGTAGCAAACCCCTCAATATGGCATCATCCTGTTTTGATCTGATAATCATTTGTTTGTTGTGCCTTACCCACTGTCAGTGCCTGGCACATATTAGTTACTCAGTGGGTGGTTTAGTGAATGAGTGAACTAAAAATTAAGCACTGGCTTCTTTTACTTGACATTTCTGAAGGAAACAGCTTCCTTAATTTACTTAGTCTCTGAAATAAGCTCACTTGAACACTATGCCATTAAATGTTACCTTTGTTTTACAAAAGTTTTTTAAAAAATTGTCAGTTTGCTTGAGCTAATGAAAATGTTTTGCATTTCATTCCATATAACATTCCAATTGTTTCTGTTTTGTCATTTAGATTAATTGGAGGATCTGACAACAAACTGATTTATAGACATTATGCAACATTATATTTTGTCTTCTGTGTGGATTCTTCAGAAAGTGAGCTTGGCATTTTAGATCTAATTCAAGTAAGTTACCACTTGCCTCTTACTGTCTTAAATAACAATTTGGCTTAAAAAACAGTTTACATTTTTTAAAACTCATATGTTCTAAATTTTCTAAAATGATGTTTTGTTTGGTAAGAAATAAAGTGTTTCATAGTAGATACTGGGAGGGTAAAAGAGAAACAAGGTATGTAGGAACTGGCAGACTAATTTAATCTGATTTAATCACAGCTAATTTCATCATGCCCTTTTTTCCTATTCATGTAAGTTACCACTAGGAGCCCAAGACTCATGGGTCTCATCACATGTATCCAAATCTGACCCTAAAACCAACCTCTCCTTGTCTCCTAAAAATCTTTCATAATGTCCTTGGAACTCAGCAAATTGCTCTTTGTTTTCAACTTCTTCTGTTACTCTTACTTCACCTTTTTGCTGTAAGTTAAATCTTGCTTCTCCATGATACTACCCTATAGCCCTCTCAAGTTGTAGCTGTTTTCTCTCCTGCTTTCTTTATACCATTGGGCTTGGAGCTATTCTGTTGGCTTCTTATTGATTTTTCCAGACCATTTTCTCTTCTAAAACACCTCCAGATTTTATCTCATGTTTTTGGACTGTACCACCTTCTACCATCTGGTTGTGTCATCTCTCCCTGCCTCCCATTTATTGGCGATTTTGTGAAGAACTGAGGGATCTGAGATTGTACTCTACTTAAAAGCTAACAAGTTAACCTACCGCAGATTCTTGGGTGCTGGCAGAAGACGGGTCACTTCTGGGCCAGAGACAAAAGACTTTATTACTGACAGCAAATGTGTTAGCTGAAATAACAACATTTGTTTATGCTGGTTCCCCAGTTCCCAAAGTGTGATGTAAAGAGGGCCAGACGATACCTATACACACAGTGGATCGTATTACAGATGAGGAACCCTAAGCTTAGGGAACTGGAATCTTTTCTAATGTCTACCCTTGTTTGGGAGGAAGAGACTGTCTCTTTGTTCCAAGGATGTAGGTAAACATATTCTTTGCTCTGTAGGAAGAAACTCTATTTTCCAGCGCTGTTTGTTATAAAGCATGCTCGAAAAGATAGTCCAGAACAAAGACATTGAATACCTCTGCTCACAATATATACAGTAACATGAGATCCATGGAGAATTGTCTCCAAACAGATTTTGTTTCTTAGTTCACTGACATTTGCTTCAATATTGCTTGTGTTATAATTCTTGATGATTTTAATGTTCATATATATAATTTTTCCAGGATCCTGATGTCTTCAAACCTGGAGCTCCTTTCTTCCAATCAATGTTGCCATCTACCCTACCTTACTGGTCATTTCTAGACCTTATCTTTATCCAAACTGCAACCTCTCCTAATCTCAATTTCACAGTTTCCTGTCTTCATCCACCACCTCATATTTTTGCATATCAGTATTTCTATTATTCCAAAAAGTCTTTGGACCTGTTAGGACCTTTAGTTTTTAATCTATCATTTTTTACTGTGCCTGATCCTACTGATGTCTTACTTTCCTTATCCAACTTAAATTCCATGGTTAGTCACGAAAGTCATAGCCTTGTACATACTTAGCTCCTTGCTTGTACCCATACATATGAAGATAACTAGAGGAAAAAAACATAACCGTACTTACTAGTCACACTTTAAAATGATACCTAATCTCATTGAGTCCTTAATACTACCCAGTAGTTATATTTCCCTGGTCCATTTACTCTCTCATACTCCTAGATGACTACTGATACATTATCTTCTCTCCTAAAACCACAGAGAAAATTGAAGCAATAAGAAAAGAACTTCCGGGCCGGCCCAGTGGCGCACTGGATAGTGCGCCGCTTGGGAAGCGTGGTGGCGCTCCCGTCCGAGGGTTCGGATCCCATATGCAGACCGGTTCCCGCTCACTGGCTGAGCGAGGCGCGGGAGCAACGCCGAGGCTTGCGATCCCGTTGCCGGTCCCCGGTCCGGTACGGGGGCAACACTGAGGGTTGCGATCCGTTGCCGGACACGGAAAAAAAAGACAAAAGACAAAAAAAAAAAAAGAAAAGAAAAGAACTTCCTCAGACTTCCACTATTTACCTAGCTGTCTACCTCTGTGCCTATGAACTCTACTTTGTCTTCTATTAGTGTTGAACTTACCATGCTCCTAGCTAAGACCAGCTCATCCGTTTATATACTAGTTTCTAGGTCTTCATTGCTCTAACAATGCTTCCCTTTTCTTCTGTATCATTATTTTTTCCTCTCTCTTCTGGACCATTCCCCCCAGCCTATAATATGTTTTCTTTTTTTTTTTAAGTCCTATTCCTACTTCCCTCTATAGCCACTATTTTCCCCTTCCTTTACAGCAAAGTATTTTTTTTTAAAGTGTACAAACAGTCTCAAATTTTTCTTCTCTTGTTCTCTCTTGAACTCACTCTAGTCAGGCTTTCAGCCTTACAGTTGCTGAATCCAAGGGTTCTCATCAGTCCTTTATTTAAGATGTTGATCACTGTTCTCCGTGAAATACTTTCCTCACTTGGCTTCTAGGACAACTTACTAGCCTCGTTTTCATTCCTTTCTTCATTTCTTACTTCATTTTGTTACTTCATTTTTTTTCCATTTCATTTCTTACTTCATTTTGTTACTTCATTTTTTTTCCTGATCTCTCCCACCTCTAAATGTTGGTAATGCCCTAGGGTTTAGTGCTCTGATATCTTCTCTTTTTTGGCTGTATTCGTTTGCTAGGTGATCTCGTAAATGTTATTTATATACTAAGCCTCCAAAATTTGAATCTTCAGCCCCAGATCTTTGCTCTTAATTCCTGATCTTGATTACCCAGCAGTCTACTGGACATCTCCACTTGGGTATACAATAAAGACTTTGAACTTAACATGTTCCAAACTGAAATCTGGATATTCCTTCAAAAATCTGTACCTCCTGCAGTCTTTCCTATGTCAGTTAAGTACAACTTCATTCTTCCAATTGAGCCAGCCAAAATCTGGGTATTTGTCCTTGACTCTAGTTCGCTGTCTGCCACATCTGCTTCTTCAGCAAATCCCGTTGGATATACAGAATGTAACATTTATTACCCTCTCCACAGCCACTACCTTGGTCCAAACCATCATTCTCTAGCCTGGATAATTATAATAGTTTTCTGACTGGTCTGTTTCCACTTTTTTTCCCCTTTGGTTTTTTCTCAGTGCAACAGCCAGAGTGATAACTATTGGAATATGGCACATCTTATACTTTTCCATTTTGAACTACTCAATGGCTTCACTTTTCACTTAGTGTAAAAGCCAAATTCTTTACAAATGGCCCATGAAGCCCCACATGATCTGACTCTCCTCCCCGACACCCCATTACTTATCTTACTTCATCTTCTACTCTTTTCCCCTTTGCTTAGCCTTTTTGCTGCTGTTCTTCAAATATATCATGCATGCTTCTACCTCAGAACCTTTGTATACCAAGAGTGTTCTTCCATTTGATATTCCCATGGCTAGCTCCATCATTCTTTCAGATCTTGTCTGGTACATCACCTTCTAAATATCGTATTCTCTGGCCATTCTTCCTAAAAATTCTCCCTCTGACATTTTCTATGCCTTTTTCTGCTTTATTCTCTTCCTTAGCACCTATCACCATCTAACATACTATATAATTGACTTACTTTGTCTTATTTATTATCATTTACCCTTACAAGAATAGAAGCTCTATGATGGCCAGGATTTTTGTTTATTTCATTCACTGTTTTATCCCCAGTGTATAGAATGGCATCTGACACATAGCGGTTCCTCAACAGATAATTGTTGAAGGAATGAGTGAATGAATGTATTTAATGCTTCATATTTAGCTTTCTATTTAAGATAACTGACAACAAAGGCTAATCATAAAGAAGTTAGCTAGGAAAATAAAATATAGTAGTTACTACATGCTAGTAACATTTTGTTTTTTGTTTTTGTTTTTAATCTGAGTGCTGGTTACATTGGTGTATTTAACTTGTGAAAATCATTAAGCTCTATGTACACTTATGATTTTTATACTTTCTGTTTGTATGTAATACTTCCATAAAAAGTTTAAAAATTAATTCTGTCAACACTGGATTAAGATTACCGTGAGGGAATATGCTGAGTTTATGTTTTCTTTCTCTTCCTGGACAGTACAAAGCATAGGGGTATGGTGTAGGTAAGTTGTAAGTTCCAGATAGCTGCATGTGAAAAGGAAGAGGGATTTTTTTGTCAAACAAGTTTTCTGTTTTTTAAATCAGCAGGAAAGAGGCATGGTTTTAGCTCTAGTTAGTGTTACAGGATAAATGAGAAATTAATCCAGACAATAAATTCTGAGTACCAAAGTGTAAAAATACTATAAGTGGCTAGACTAAGTCTTTAGATATTAAAATGTTGCTTTGCTTCCCACAGATTTGTCACCCCTTTTCCCCTGGGTGACGGAGCCACCAAAGATTACTCAAAGCCCATCTCTTCTGAGCAGTGAGAAGCCCTGAAAAGGGGTTAATCTCCCAGAACCCTCAAGAGAGTGGCATTCCTTCCATTTGGGAAATTAACCACGAATTGGGGTTCTCTTCCTGCATTTATTCTCCAGACCAGGAAGTTTCAGGAGGAGAACATAGGTGGGGTTTTTGCTAAGTATAGTTTAATAAGTTTAACAATAGAAGCTGGTAACATTCAGTAAGACAAGCAAGGTGACATTCCATAATGCAATTTGCAAGAAGTTAAGTCGATCCACCAACAAAAAGCTTGATTTTAGCAAACATTCTCTTCTTACAGCAATTTCCCAGTATCTTTACATATCAGTCAGTAACCTGTCTGTCTTTGAGCCAGCAACCTTGCTGTGTTACAATTCTTTATCTTACAACAGAGACTATAGCCTGGGGAAAATTTGCTGTCTCTTGCAAGGTTAACATTTGAAACTGCAAGGATTTGGAAAACCAGGCCCTGTTTTATGGAGTATACATTTGCTTTATGTATATTCCATATTAAAAACTGTTAATGAAGCAAAAGAAAGATAAGTGATAAATGGAGCTATTAATAATG